ATGAGAAGACGGCGAAGCGGCGTTCTTCCGGTCTGGGGAGGGGGCGGGGCTTGGTGAGAGGCGGGGACACGCCCACTTTGCCAGATTTGGGTTGTGACGGGGTTTAAGCCACGCCCACTTTGCCATATTTGGGTCTAATGTGGATTAAGCCACGCCCACTTTGCCATATTTGGGTCTAATGCGGATTAAGCCACGCCCACTTTCCCATATTTGGGGCGAATGGGGATTAAGCCACGCCCACTTTGCCATATTGGGTTACAACGGGATTTAAGCCACGCCTACTTTCCCATATTGATTTATAATGGGATTTAAGCCACGCCCACTTTTCCATATAGGGTTTGTTGTGGTTTAAGCCACGCCCAATTTGCCATATTGGGTTATAACGGGGCTTAAGCCCCGCCCACTTTGCCTTTTATGGTTATAACGGTGTTTAAGCCACACCCACTTTGCCATATATGGACTTCATGTGAGTTCAAGCCACGCCCACCAGCCTTTAACCCCGCCATAATCCCGGCCACACCCCAATATGCAAATTAGACCCCCAACACATTAAAAATGCAAATTAGGAGAAGAACCACGCCCACAAAATGCAAATTAATGCACAAACCACGCCCCCTTAACCAAGCGCAACCCGGACCCCCACAAATTATATGCAAATAATATGCAAATTAGAGCATCAAAACCCAAGCCACGCCCCAAAATATGCAAATTAGAGTGTTAAAACAGAAGCCCCGCCCCCACCTGAGCTCCAGGGCCGTGTGGGCGTCGCCGTCACCGTCGAGATCAAAGACGTGAACTGCGGAAAGGGGCGTGGCCTCGTTAGCCCACGCCCCTTTCTTGTTATGGGCGGGGCTTGGGATGATCCCAGGCCACGCCCACTTCCGGTTCCCCAAAATTCCCGTTTTTTCGCCCGTTTTGCGGCCGATTTTTCCCGTTTTTTCGCCCTTTTTGAGCACTTCCGGTGACCTCCCAGTATGAACCGGTTAAAACCGGTTTAAACCAGTTTAAACCAGTATAAACCAATAACCCCATTTCCCGCCATTTTCCGCCATCTTGTTTCCCTTTTTAATTCCATTTTTTTCCCGTTTTTTCACCGTTTTTTTCCGTTTTTTCGCCGTTTCTCCCCATTTCTCCCCCTCCCAGTCCCCTCCCAGTACAAACCAGTACAAACCAGTAACCCCAACCCCCATTTCCCGCCATTTTTAACCCTTTCTTCCCCATTTTTAACCCCATTTTTGCCATTTTTAACCCATTTTCTGCCATTTTTAACCCATTTTTTGCCATTTTTTCCCCATTTTCCCCTCCCAGTCCCTCCCAGTACAAACCAGTAACCCCAAACCCCATTTTCCCCATTTTTAACCCTTTCTTCCCCATTTTTAACCCATTTTTGCCATTTTTAACCCATTTTTTGTCGTTTTTTCACCGTTTCCCCCCGTTTTTTCCCCATTTTCCCCTCCCAGTCACTCCCAGTATAAACCAGTCCAAACCAGTAACCCCAACCCCCATTTCCCTCCATTTTTAACCCTTTCTTCCCCATTTTTAACCCTTTCTTTGGCA